ACGTGTTCAGGCTAATGTACAGAATGGAGATTGACCTTGCCTCTGGAGGGAACTAATAACTGAGGCCTTGTCTATTTAAAATGCTTTCCTGAGCCTGACTAGAGTTTAGTCAAGCAGTTTCTAGGTAGGCAAAATCAGGTAAAATCAATTTGGTCCTTACAATCTGGGCTGGGGGAGGTTAATTTTCTTTACTATTAGCAGGAGCTTATCACCCCTGAGATTTTCAGGGGGTTCCGGTGAGAGACTTCCATCACGGGAAGGTACTGTTGGCCAGCACTCTGCTATGGTGAAATTATGAGGCCCCAAATCATTATTTTCTCCGGTATCTATTCCAGAGAAAGGTGACTTCCTGGCCTTGGACCTGGGGGGGACGAATTTCCGGGTCCTGCTGGTTCGTGTTCGGAACGGGAAGCGTCGTGGCGTGGAGATGCACAACAAGATCTACTCTATCCCCCAGGAAATTATGCATGGCACGGGGGATGAGGTGAGGCAGGTGGCACCTCCGGAGGAGACATGTCTCAGGGAGGCCTAAGTGGGTTTAGGGCCTCAGCCTGATGTTCACTCAGGTCTGTGCCTGAGCGGAGGCCTTGGGGCTCAGGCTCAGCCTACCCTGTGCCCCTCTCTCATCGCCCTGCTTTCCCCTGCAGCTGTTTGACCACATTGTGCAGTGCATCGCTGACTTCCTGGAGTACATGGGAATGAAAGGCGTCTCCCTGCCTCTGGGCTTCACCTTCTCCTTCCCCTGCCAGCAGAACAAACTGGATGAGGTAACAGTGCCTTCTCGGGGCTCTCCTATTAGCTTTGCTGACTGTCACCCAGCCACAGAGGAGCAGGAGTTTGTAGCAGGGGAAGAAGTGTGCTAAGAGGAGAGAAAGGACACGTGCGATCAGTGGGGAGTAATGGGGTCCATGGCCAGGAATGAGGATGTCAAGGCAGCACAGTGGAGGTTGACTAAGTTCCTTGGCTAGGACACAGATGATGATATGAATCAAAATATTCATGACTAGCATTATTTTCAGCACTTTCAATATGTTGTTGTTGTTGTCAGGTGCCATCGAGTCAGAACCGACTCATAGTGACCCCATGCACAGCAGAATGAAACAATGTCCGATCCTGGGCCAACCTCACTACCGCTGCCACACTTGAGTCCATCAATGATGCCACCTGGCCAATCCATCTCGTTAGGGGTCTTCCTCTTTTTCTCTGACCCTCCACCTTACCCAGCATGACATCCTTCTCCAGCGACTGTTCCCTCCGGACAATATGTCCAAAGTATGAGAGAAGAAGCTTAGCCATCTTGGCCTCCAAGGAGCACTCTGGCTGCACTTCTTCCAAAATAGATCTATTGGTTCTTTTGGCAGTCCATGGCACTTTTAGTATTCTCCTCCAACACCACAACTCAAAGGCATCAATTCTTCTACGGTCTTCTTTATTCACTGTCCAGCTCTCGCATCCATATGAGGTTATTGAAAATACCATGGCTTGGGTCAGGCGCACCTTAGTCCTCAAGCTGACATCTCTGCTCTTCAATACTTTAAAAAGTTCCTGTGAAGCAGATTTGCCCAATGCAATACATCGTCTGATCTCTTGACTGCTGCTTCCACGAGTGTTGATAGTTGATCCAAGAAGAATGAAGTCCTTGACAACTTCAGTCTTTTCTCCATTGATAAGAATGTTGTTTATTGGTCCAGTGGTGAGGATTTTTATTTTCTTGACATTGAGATGCAATCCATACCGAAGGCTGTGCTCTTTGATCTTCATCAGTAAATGTTTCAAGTCCTCTTCACTTTCAGCAATCAAGGTTGTATCATCTGCATATCGCAGGTTGTTAATGAGTCTTCCTCCAATCCTGATGCCACGTTTTTCTTCATAGAACCCAGCTTCTCGTATTATTTGCTCAGCATACAGGTTGAATAATGTTGAAAATACCAGGTACTGCCAAAAGAATAAACAGATCTGTGTTGGAAGAAGTGCAGCCAGAGTGCTCCTTGGGAGCCAGGATGCCCAGACTTCGTCTCATACTAAGAACATATTATCAGGAGGGACCAGTCCCTGGAGAAGGATATCATGTTTGGTAAAGTGGAAGGTCAGATAAAAAGAGGAAGACCCCCAATGAGATGGATTGGCACAGTGGTGGCAGCTTAGGTGTAGCAACAATTGTGAGGTTGGCCCAGGACCAGGCAGTGTTTCATTCTATTGTGTGTAGGGTCACGCTGAGTCGGTACCTACTCAATGGCCCAACAACAATCAATTACTAGGTTTTTGTTTTGTTTTGTTTTGGTTCTTAATTTCAATGACATGAGAAAATTCTGGAGCCATAATGGGGAGAAAAAAACAAACAACACAACTTTTTAAAAGAAGGACATGAACTTGATTTATGATGCTGTTAGGTACTATTGAGTAGGTACTGACTCATGGAGATGCTGAATAGTGTTCCCAGGGAATGGCTGGTAGAATATTAAAATAGAAATATGTTAAAAATACTTCAGGCTATGTCCTTCTAGACTGTCCAGATGAAAATCTCGTTAAACAGATAGAATCTTACTTTTCATATCACCAAGCACGTGTCTTCCTATGTTTATCAGGTAGCCTGGAAAGTTTCCAGGTGCTGCTGTGACTCCAGTATCCCAGGTGGGCAGCTGTAAAGAACAGGAATGTCTGTTGTCACAGTTCTGAAGGCTGAAAGTACCAATCAGTGTCTTGGCTGTATCAGTGATGTCCCCTGACATTCCTTGTCTTCTTACAGTATCAGGATTGTCTTCGTAAGGATCGGTGTCTTCCCCTTTTGCATAGCTCTGTGTCGGAGGTGCTCTTTTCATGACCAGAGTGATTAGGTTTAGAACCTACCCTACTTCCTGTTGGAGTCTGATCGAACACGACAATTTGCCACTGAGTCGACTCTGGTCATATGAACTGTGCTCCGTGGAGCTTTCAGTGTCTGATTTTTCTAAAGTAGATCACCAGGCCTTTCTTCTGAGGTGCCTCTGCATGGACTCGAACCACCATCCTTTGCTTTAAACAGCCAAGCATGTTACCCATTTATACCACCCGAGGACTTCTGTTCCCAAGCAGGATGACGTACACGTATTTTGGCGGGGGATACAATTTAATCCATAATAATTTAACTATTTCAATCTGCATTATAAGATTTCAGGTTATCTGACTTGATTTTGTTCTACCCTTTCCATGTTTCTATAAGGACCTTGCGTTCAATGTAGAACCGTAAAAAGTAGGAGCAAATAAAGCTGGAGACAGTTGTACACGTAGGTGCTGGTCAGATGGGAAACCTGCATGCTGAGTACAATGCCGAGCCTGGAGCCTCAGAGCTGCAGTTAATAGCTGGTGGCCTTGGGCAAATTTCTCTGGTCGCTGGGGCCTCGGCTTACTAAGGAGCACCTGAAAGTATGTTACTGGAGCATTCTGTATGCATAGAAGATAGCGTCAGAAACGTGAGGCTAACTTGTAGACAAGAAAGATGGTTATGGACAAGCACTCAGTTGTCAGGATGCAGGAATATAAGCCAGGACTCTGTGGAGCTGGTCCTTTGTTTTTCCAAATCTCCTAGAATCTGCACACACTGAGACACATCAAGATAGGTTTGCATGCTTCCCAATCCCTGGGCATGAACAGAGCAAGGCCCGGAGAAACTGTGAAAGTGGGCAGCTTGTGAGCCCACACAGCCTGTTTCTAGGTGCAGGCCTCTTGGAGGAAGGACCTGAAAGTTCTGATGTATGTTCCCTGGGCAGCAGAGAGGTCCCCAGAGAACAAAACCCAAAAGATCTCTCCCATGTTCAAGGCCACTGTGACACGGCAAAGGCCACATTAAAGCCTGGAGGCTACGGGGAGAAGCCTACATGTCACCCCAGTTCTGAGCAGGATGTTGGAATTTGGAAATTAAGAGATAGATGCACATTGCCCCTTCTGATGTAAATACAGGATGGGCACAGTGAAGAAAGCAAGGGAATAGAACAATGCCAGGTGTTATTAAAAGCTGTGAAGAAAAATGAAGTTGGGTAAAGACAGTGTGGGTGGGACTTAGAAGGGGTCACTATATCCAGTAATGTAGTCAGGGAGGACCTCTGTGAGGAGGTGACATTTGAGTGGAGGCTCGAATGAATTGTCATTCAGTATATGATTGAGATATGCCTTGCTGCCTGGTGCTTGTGAGCCCCTGTGTTGGCGCTCTCAGGTCTGGTTGGGTCCTCTTTCCTCCAAGTGCTAAGCCCTGGGCAAGTCACTCCGGAGTCCTGTTAATTGGAAAAGGGAGCAGTAGCCATGTGTGAATGTTTCATAAAGTTGCTGTGAGGATTAAATGATGCAGCACATATGATGAGCTTACCTCAGTACCTGGTGCATAGCCAGTGCTCAGCTACCAAACTCAGTGCACATTAGAAACAGGTTCAGAATCAGTGGTGAATGAGATCATTGTTAGCTTCAGGGAACCTAGTTCACCTGTGAAGATGAGAACACGAAGCATACCCGGGCTTCTGGGGATGACTCAAGAGCCCTTCCCCGATACCTTCATCCCTGATCATGTGTGGTTTTTGTTTTTTAGAGCATCCTCCTCAAGTGGACAAAAGGTTTCAAGGTGTCCGGCTGTGAGGGTGAAGATGTGGTGACCCTGCTGAAGGAAGCCATTCACCGGAGAGAGGTGGGAAAGACAAGGCCCGAGGCTCTGAGCTCCCAGTGCCTTAAATTATCTGTGTTCAGAATGTGGGGAAACATTAAGTGGAACGGCATTGGTTGGGGCAGAATTCACTTAGTCAATGAGCAGTTATTGAATGTCTGCTGTGTGTCAAGGCACTGAGGGTTCAGTAGTGATCACAACGAAGTCTTGACCCATGTGGAGCAAGCTAAGTTGGGTGAGGAGGAGGAAAACAGTGTGGGTGGGGATGGGGGAGGGCCACTGTTTTTAGAAGTGCAATCAGGGAAGGAAGGCCTCTGTGAGGAGGTGATATTTGATGAGAAAATGAACCACTCGGTGTCAGATAAATTTCGTTTTCATAAACATCTCCCTTGCCAAGTGCCTAGAAAGACAACATTGTGGTTCATTTGTGGACTGGGGATCTGTTTCTGCCCTCTCAGGAGTTTGACCTGAACGTGGTTGCTGTGGTGAATGACACAGTTGGGACGATGATGACCTGTGGCTATGAGGATCCTCATTGTGAAGTTGGCCTCATCGTTGGTAAGGACCCAGACTGACTTTTCTGCCCGGGCATTGCCTGGAGTTGGCCAAACTCAAGGCTAAGGGCACAGACGTCTAGACTGCCAAGTCTGCCCAAGACTTCAGACACCAGCCTGAAGTTAGGGTATCCTCAGGGCTACCCTCATTTCTGACCAGCGAGGTCAGGATGCCATCAGGTTTGATAATTTGCTAGAACGATTCATAGAACTTTGGGAAATGCTATACTTGTGACTATAGTTTTATTACAGCAAAAGGCTACAGATCAGAACCAGGGAAAGGAAGGGATGCCTAGAGCAGACTCTGGGACTGGGAAGGTTCCAAATGGCAAATCTCTGTGTCCTCAGAGACATGTCACCTTCCTGATGTTGATGTCTAGCAATACGTACATGGAATATTGTGAACCCAGGAAGCTAGCCCAAGATTCAATGCCCAGAGTTATTAATTGAACCTTCATTATATAGACATGATGGACTGATGGCCCAGTGGGTTTAACTTAATCTTCAACACACAGCCCATGGCCCCCAACACGGTTATATAACCAGCCCCCAATCTGAGTGCTCGCGATAGTATAAGCTAGTAGGTGTGGCTGAAGGGTTCACCATGAATAATAAAGGCACCCCTAAGATAAGGCCATAAACCGAACCCATTGCCATCTAAATCATCTTGGCTCGTGCTGACCCTATAAGTCAGAGAATTATTTCATGGGGTTTCTGTGACTGAAAATCTTTAAGGGAGCAGACAGCATCCTCTTTCTCCCAAGGAGTGACTCATGCGTTTGAACCACTGACCCTGCATTTAGCAGCCTGACACATAACCCACTACAATTCCTTACTACACATGACACACAGCCTTGGTGGGTAGAAAGATGACCCTGGATTCTCTGTGATTGGCAGGCACGGGCAGCAACGCTTGCTACATGGAAGAGATGCGGAACTTAGAACTGGTGGAAGGGGAGGAAGGTCGGATGTGTGTCAACATGGAGTGGGGAGCCTTTGGGGACAATGGCTGCCTAGATGAATTCCGCACTGAATTTGATATAGCCGTGGATGAACTTTCCCTCAACGCTGGCAAGCAGAGGTAGGCACTCAACCACTTGTCAGTTCTGTTGTTAATTGAATCCCAGACCTAGATGGCGATGTAGACTTGGGTCCTCCTAGTATTTCTCAGCATGCTCGCCCACTCTCAGGAGGGTGAGATAGATCTTATTGAACAAAAGAGTTGTTGTTGTAAGTTTCCATTGAGTCGATCCCCACATATGCTGACCCCATGTGTACAGAATAGCGCTGCTTTTCATAAGATTTCTAGGCTGTGACCTTTCAGAAGCCCATCTCTAGGCCTGTTTTCCAAGGTGCCTCTCGGTGGGTTTGAACCACCAACCTTTTGGCTCGCAGTTGTACACAGGTACTCCTCAAGATGTTAACAGATGTTTCCAAGAGAAAAAAGTTTCTTCAAATAAATTTGGAAAGTTCTGTGCAGAGCCCTTTTTTTGCCTGGCTATGGGAAAACAATTACCACAGTTATTTACAAGGAGACTGTATGGTGGAGATGTGGTTGCATGGTTTTAGAAGCCACTGAGGAACACAGAGGTAGTAAGTGTAAGAAGCAGCTCCTACCCCAGGCCTGGTAGAACAAAGGAGAGAGTTTAGAACTTATGTCTGGGACCGGATGGAAAAACAAATAGAAAATTAAGCCTCCTGCTGCTGCCAATGTGAAAAAAAAGCATTGTGGGGGTGATGCAGGCAGGAATAAGAAGCAAACAGAAGGAGCAAATTCCCTTTTCCTTTCTCCTTCAGTATCCAGTATCTGTACCATCTGCTGCCAACCTCAGCACCACAGAGTCTAGGCATGTGGATCTGAGCTGAGGCAATAGCTTAAGAACCAACACACTTTCCAATAGGACATAGTGCATGTAGTGTTTCCTAACCAGATTAACTGGTGACCTTAGTTCTGCATAATACACTTTGTAAAACACTTTTCGGGAGCAGAGGTCACAGACTAAAATGCCTCAATGGGTCAGGCTGGTCAGACAGGAGGGAGTGGTAACAGGGACTTGCATGAAACTAGAGACCCCCAACTTTCTTTTAAGACACTGTACAGGGACCAAAGACCCTTAAGTGACTGCTTTGCCATGTTCTGTTTTAGTGGCCAGGACAGGGACTAAGATAGGATAATAAGAAAGGCCTGGGGAACTACTTGTGAAAATCAGCCAATGAAAACTTGATGGATCATAACTCTTCTGACTCATAATTGGCTGTGGGGGTGACACAGGACCCGGCAGTTTTTGCCGTGATTCATGTGCCAGCTTCATGGTAGTGAGTAAGTTACTTGAGTGATGGTGATTGGGTCAAAGGGGAATCATGGCAAATGTCAAGTGAAGTTAAGGATTAAGACTTAGTATCATACCCTTCATCCTCGAAATGTGGAGGATGGAGGTGTGTTCTTTTCTGGGGAGTCAGGAATAAGCCTTGGAAAGGAAATGAGCCCAGAATGTGGTGCCAATCTAGGAGAGCCCCATGAGCCTCACACTGGGCTCAGTTATGCTGAAAGTGATGGCCTAATGTGAGTGGACACCAAGAACTCTGCCCAAAATGAACAAAGTAGCATTTCCTCTTCCCCCGAGGGAACCTGTATGCCCTCCCCATCTCCCTATATCCCTTTGCCTTCCTCCTTCCCTCTTTGAACATGATCCCACATCACAGGTTTGAGAAAATGATCAGTGGCATGTACCTGGGTGAGATTGTCCGCAACATCCTCATCAATTTCACCAAGCGTGGACTGCTCTTCCGTGGCCGTATCTCAGAGCGACTCAAGACGCGGGGAATCTTTGAAACCAAGTTCCTATCTCAGATTGAGAGGTGAGTGCTTAAGGTCTGTGGTAAGGTGGGATGGTGCCCTGCTGTCTTCTCATGGAGAGAAGAGCTCAGTAAGATCTGAGCATGACTTACATAAAGGTTAGTTTCCGTACCTAACACATTCCTGTCTATAGTGCTTAAAAGAGCTTCTTATGAACAGTCCGTCCATCCGTCCGTTTTTCTACTGTGGCTTGTGTGCTGCTGGAAGCTCTGCCACTGGTATTTCAAACACCAGTCCTCTGCTTGTCCCACTCTCCACCCTAACTCTTCTCCTATGTGATAGGGGTACCAACTAACAGTTCCCAGTTCCAGTTTACTCAAGCAAGGTAGGGTGCTGCTACTACAAAACCACTACTACTAAAAGCCAGCGGGATCATCCATGGTGGGTAGGTTTCAGCAGAACTTCCAGATGAAGATAGATTAGGAAGAAAGGCTTCATGATCTCCTCCGACAATTAGCCAGTGAAAACCTATGGATCAGAACAGAACATTGATACAGTGCTGGATGATGGGCCCCCTAGGTTGGAAAGCACTGCACTATCATTGCAACAGTGGAGACACGTTCCTATGATCATGAAGATGTTACAGGACCAGGCGACATTGCATGCTGCTGTACTTGGGGTCAGGAATCGGGATCAGTACAGAGCAGCAACTAACAAGATGGATAGCTAACATTTTAAGAGCAAATGTGTAATATCTTCATTAAAAGAAAACACTATACTAAGCTGTCATGAGCCCATACAAAGTGATATTGTTAGGCTTCAGACCAAATATCAAAGGAGAGAAATGCCTGCCCCTTGGATGTAAATTGAAATGCACAGCAGAGGGCAACCTATTGAGAGCACTTGTGCTTGACTTGGGAGCTCTTGCTAACTGCTGGCAGGGGTAATAAGGTGACCAGAAGCAAATGAGAGTTTGAACATCAGGCACATATGGAGCACACCATGTAGCCTCTCATTAGGACCAGTCCCCTCTTCAGCTGATTGGCTGAAGACTCTGCTTCAAATGAGAACAGGGACTTCCAGAGGCCTTTAAAGCTTAATACTTAGACATATGCAAAGTCAGGAACAAGATGGTTGGCATGAATAGCCCCAGGCCATGTCCTTCAGTGAATGCAAAGAATGTGTTCTAATATGCATATCTGTGTGTGTGGAAGAAGAGGAACCTAGGCATCTAAAATCATCCTTTCTAAAATAGGGTATGTTTTCTTCAGAAGGTCTTACTTAGATTTGTTTCATTCGTAGTGACAAGCAGATTTCAGAGCACCCAGTGTAAGGGCAGTAGAACAGATTCTTGGTGACTGGGCACAGCAATGGGAGAGTGGACAGGGCAGAGCTGTGTATCTTTGTGTGAACTGTCGTGTTTAAGCATGGTCACTGTATTTCCAAAGGAATGACACACAAAGATGGTGAATTTTCTTATACCTGCTTAGCCTGGGTAAACTGAAACAGGGAGCTGTTTCTTGGTACTACTAATTACAAGGTTGGTGGTCAAACCCACCAGCCGATCCTTGGAAACCCTGTTGTTGCTGTTAAGTGCTGTCGAGTTGGTACCGATGCACGGCGAGCTTGTATGGGGTTTCCAAGGAGCATCTGGTGAGTTTGAACCACCAACCTTGCAGTTCTAAGTGGTCCTGTGGTTTAGTGCTTTATCCCAAAGTGCCACACCAGAACGCCAATCCTATATAGGGTTGCTGTGAATTGGAACTGACTTGGAGGCACATAACAGCAGCAGTATCACCCTGGAGAAGAGTCAGGGTGGATAGTGGGATGGATGAGCAGTGGGCAGAATTCAGGAAACCTCGCAGGGACTGTGGTCTTTATGGCCGGTTCCCACAAAACCTGTCCTGATAGAGGAGCTGGGCCCTTGCAGTGGGGAGATGTGGGTCTGAGCAGCCCCTCTTGACAGATGACTGACCCTCACCATCCCCCTCTCGGCAGCGACTGCTTGGCCTTGCTGCAGGTCCGTGCCATTCTGCAGCACTTGGGGCTTGAGACCACCTGTGACGACAGCATCATTGTCAAGGAGGTGTGCACCGTGGTGGCACGGCGGGCAGCCCAACTCTGTGGTGCAGGCATGGCCGCCGTGGTGGACAAAATACGGGAAAACCGTGGATTGGAGACACTGAAAGTGACCGTGGGCGTAGACGGGACCCTGTATAAGCTTCATCCACAGTGAGTGCCTCCCTTCAGCCCCGCATCTCTCATGTCCTTCCGTGTCCATTCTTTGCTTGCTTTCCCTTCTCACTTTATACATCCCAAGGAGTGTATATAATCTGTGTATATCTAAAGAGTGCTGCTGGCACAGTGGGCAAGTGGTCAGCTGCTAACCTGAAGCTTGTCAGTTTGAACTCACCAGCCACTCTGCAGGAGAAAAGCCCAGGCCCTCTGCACCTGTTAAGACTTACAGCCTAGGAAACCCTAGGCAGGAGTTCTGCTCTGCCCTGTGGGGTTGTTATGAGTTAGAATTAACTTGACATTGACTTTTTGTATTTGGTCCTGGTGTGGCACTGTAGGATAAGCACCGAACTGCTAACTGCAAGTTCAGTTGTTCAAATCCACCAGCTGCTCCTCAGAAACCCTATCCTGTGGTTGTTATGAATTGGAACTGACTTGACTTTTTGTGTGTACCCCAAAAAAAGCAATTGCCATTTAGTCAGTGTACATACACACACATCAGGCAGTTCCAAACTTACAATGTATTTGAGTTATGACGAATCATACTTGCAACAGTCCACTTTTGTTACATATCTTATTGTTAATAATATGTACTACATGCAGTGTTGTAGCGTGTGATTTGCTAATGCTATCATTCTCAGCTGTTTTGTTTCACCCCCAAAGACAAATAAAGATCAGATTTATGAAGATATTGATAATGAAAGGAAATAATAATAAAAACTTAAAAAAAACAAAAACGGAGGTACAAGTATATCCCCTTGCTTTTTGAAAGTTTGCTTTACACAACTTTGCTTTTACAAAAGCCTGTATTAGTACCTGTTTTCATTAACCAAAAAAAATCCAAAGAGGATTTTCACTTTTATGAAAAAAGGTGAAAGGCGAGAGAAGCAGTGAACCGTTAGAGGCAGCGTGCCCCAAGCAGTGAGCATGGCACACCATGCTTCTTCCCTAGAACTACACTGTACATCTCAGCATCAAGCTTTGGACTGTCTCTGTGAATGCTGCATGTTAGTGTTATTTTAGCTATTTGGTATGATTGAGTATGGTATTTTTGGGTCTGGGAACACCCCCAAATTTTGCCCGTATATCACTGGACCGATAAACAACATTCTTATCAATGGAGAAAAGATTGAAGTTGTCAAGGACTTCATTCTTCTTGGATCAACTATCAACACTTGTAGAAGCAGCGGTCAAGAGATCAGACGACTTATTGCATTGGGCAAATCTGCTGC